TTGCATATTTTTCTTGTGAGCCTCAAGTCTTTGAAGAAGCATCCAAAGATGAATTTTGGAACGAGGCATTGGATGCAGAAATTTCCATGATCGAGAAAAACAAGACATGGGAGCTTGTTGATCAAGCGAAGGACAAGCCGGTTATAGGTCTCAAATGGATCTATAAGATCAAATTCAATGAAGATGGTACTATCCAGAAGTACAAAGCTCGACTGGTGGCAAAGGGCTATTCACAACAGCCCGGTATTGATTTTCACGAGACATATGCACCAGTAGCGAGGATGGAGACCATCAGAACAGTTCTCGCTCTAGCTGCTCAACTGGAGTTACCAGTATACCAGCTGGATGTCAAATCAACATTTCTGAACGGAGAACTGGAAGAAGAAGTCTATGTGGAGCAACCACGAGGCTATGAGAAAAAAGGAGAAGAAGACAAGGTCTATCATCTCCGAAAGGCTTTATATGGGCTGAAGCAAGCACCGAGAGCCTCGAACAGCAGAATTGATCGATATTTTTAGCAAAACGGATTTCAAAGAAGTCCGAGTGAAGCATCTCTCTACATCAAAAAGGGAGAAGGAAAAGATTTTCTAATTTTGTGTTTGTATGTTGATGACTTGATTTACACAGGTACAAGTCAACATATGATCGAAGAATTCAAAAGTACCATGATGAAAGAATTCGAGATGACGGACTTGGGACTCATGAAATATTTTCATGGGATCCAAGTGAAGCAATCACCTAGAGAAATATTTATTTCACAGGAGAAGTACACCAAAGATATGCTGAAAAGATTTCACATGGCAACGTGCAAACCAATCTCAACACCAATGGCGTTAAACGAGAAATTACAACGCAATGATGGAGCTGAAAAAGTCAATGGAAAGTTGTACAGAGGTCTTGTCGGGTCACTCATTTACCTGACACATACCAGGCCAGATATATGTCATTCAGTAAGTCTTATATCAAGATTTATGAATGAACCTAGCAAACTTCATTTTGCAGCAGCCAAAAGAATTTTGCGGTATCTTCAAGGTACAAAGAAATTGGGCTTGATGCACAAGAAAGAAGCAGAAAGCAAGTTGACCGGATTTACTGATAGTGACTGGGCAGGATCACTTGATGATCGAAAAAGCACATCGGGGTACATATTCTGTCTGGGTTCAAAACCCATTTTCTGGAGTTCAAAGAAGCAAAAGACTGTGGCATTATCTTCAGCGGAAGCAGAATATATCGCAGCTACAGATGCAGCATGCGAAGCGGTATGGCTAAAAAGATTCATTTTTTATTTGCATCAAAATGAAAATGGTCCAACCATTATTCATTGTGACAACATGTCAGCCATAGCCATGACAAAGAATCTAGTATTTCAGGCAAGATCGAAGCATATCGAGTTGCGTCATCATTTCATCCGAGACCTCATCAACGAAGGATTAATCGTGATGGAATTTATCAACACCGACGACCAGCCAGCAGATATCATGAAAAAGGCGGTTACCCATGAGAAATTTGAGAAGTTGAAGGAGCTACTCCAAATTGCAAATTAAGAGGGGGTGTTGAATGGTAATTTGCAATTAACCTTGCCATCAATAAACATCACACATGGTGGGCTATTTGATAATAATGGATAAGTATTAATCATGGTGAATGGAGGGCCAAATGATGGAGTGTCTTGCCAACAAAGATGACAAGAAGAATGAACTACCACTGAATTATGAGAGGCATTTATCATGGACAGCAGATGGATTGGATGCCCAACAAGATAAGGAAATAATGGATGGTGGACACACTTAAGTTATTGCCTTCTCAATTACGTTCACATGCATGTAAGAAAAATTAAGTGTTTGCATGTGGTGTGTTGTTGTTTCTCTCTTTCATTTTTACAATTATATATACATATGTAGTATGGAGTGTGTCAGATGGAGTAAGAGAAGCGAAAAGAAAGAAAGAAAAGAAAGCTTCTACGTGTGTATGAAAAAAGCAAGTGCCGACAATAAGGCCTTGTTTGGTTAAGTTAATTTCTAAATTGAGTGATTAAACACCAATTGTTTCCTTTGTCTTGATCCTAAATTACCATTATTTCCGCTAATCCCCAACAGCTATCAGTGATGATGTGTCATTCGTGTTGGCCTCAAAGCTTTCCCTCCTCTACCATATTGTTGCAGTTGTTGCTGTACAACAACGAAGGCGGTGCTTCCTACGCCAAGTACGATTCTCATCCTCCAGCGAAATTTGGGGCTGGTGGAGATTAGGTAATACTTTGCGGGTCTCTATTTCGTGAATGGAGCTGTGTGAATTCTGCAAACTGATTCCCTTATCACCTTTTGTTAGACTCCGGTGATGGGCCGTGGGACTACAGTTGCTCCCGATACTGGGAAATAGCTGCGTCACAACGAATTTGTTTCAGGGGTAATGTACTAATCCTTATCATCTTGTCGCTTTGCTTGGGCCTCCCTTTGATTTTTGACAATTTCATGGGTGGTCTGGATCCTAATGTTCCTCATGTTCTTAGGGTAGCTTCAATTTACTCCACTGCTATCTTGCACGTTGGTGTTATAAAAGGTAGGCCTTTCAAATCAAAATGTACTACCAAATGAACAAGTGCGAGTTTAGTAATCTAGGTTATAGGAATCTCTTTTCATCCATTCATATTCTAGACACTGTTGCAATGGTTGTTTAGCAACAATGGAGGTAGCTCGCATTTCACTTAGTCTGTTTGTGAAGAAAATCAGGCACCCTCGAGTCTTTGGTGTGTGTTAGCTACTGCATATTTAGTACTGATATCACTTTGGCAGGTGTGTGTGGAACTTGGTTGTGAGGATGATATGGAGGAAGAGATGATGTCGATTACATGAAGGTAAAAAGCTTCCTAGTATGTGTGATAGTAGATAGTGTTGGATATTAGCGGAAGTGGTGATGATTTTGGATATGAGACAAAGGAAACATTTATTGTTTAATCACTCTTTTTAGGAAAACACTCAAATTAATAATGACTTAACTTTTGGCTATTGTTATTAAACACTCAAAGTTCATACATACACGGCAGAACTTGCCTTTGTTTCTTTTCTTATTGTTTTTCAAACTCTTTGCACTGCTCTCCCATACACGTACATATAGATATAATAGCAAATGAAAGATAACTCACAAATGCAGCCCCTTTATCTTTCCTCCATACATTGAACGTAACTGAGCAAGAGACGTGTTATTTAATATATGTCTCATACATTGTTTGGCTTATCTGTTGAGTCTTTTCCATTTTGTTGTCCATGTCAGCTGCTTGGCATAATTCACTGGTTGTTGAGTCTTCTTATCATCAATCAACTTTCTTCTCATCGTAACCAACTTGTTGCTCTCATCATTGATAGGATGGGAACAAAATGAGCTCCTCAACCAACTATGTCCCATGTAGTAATGGACTTCTTTAATTTAGCTACAAAATTGACCACTTATTGATTTATTTAATCAAATGCAAATACCCTTTCAACATATAGAGCAAGGAGTAGGTTAGAGGTATTGCAGCAAGGTATCCATGTTTGCTGCTCATTGATACAGGTGATAGGAGATATGTTTGATAGTTTGGTTATTTTGTATATAGCATTCCTTTGCTATGTATGTAAATAGTTTTGTGGTGCTCACTAAGACTATCCACCCTAGCTCGATGGATAAATTTTTTGATTCTCCATCATAGAAAGAAAAGAAAAAAAGTTCAGATATTAAAGCTGCTTGTGTAGTTTACTTCTACTTCTCTGTTAGCAAGACAAACCTTGTGTTTCAACATCATACTTGACAGTATAACTCTTGTGTTTCCCAAACAAGGTCACCTGGTAATTGTGCATGCTTCCATCTACCACAAAATTGCTCTTGATACAACCCTTCGCCTTGACAAGCTCCTTCTGATACTTGCGAAATATCTTATTAGTGAAAAACTTTGCAGCGCTTTCTTCAAGTGTGCTTAACATAGGATGTTTCATCTCCGGTACACCATGGTTGGATTGAAAATCCAATTTCACCTCATTTTCCCGCAACTCTCCAATCCATCGATCAAAATGGATAAAAAAACTCAAGCACATTGTGATTCTCAGTTACATACCTTCCAAGATGTGAGTTGATTCCTTCACATCTAGAGGTTGTTGACAACCCTGCAAAGAAGTAAGACAGGAGGTATGTGTATGCCCATTCCCCTCGTCTGTCAAATAAATCCGAAACCCATTCAGAATTTTCAAGTTGGTGACTTGACAACAATTCTGCCCATTTTTCTTCGAATTCAGCCGCTTCAAGATCAGCATATACAAACGTCTTCCATTGAGGCTCAAATGCTTTATTATTCTTGAGATGACTCACAATGTTCTTGGCGATATTCCATGAACACAATCGATGAATTGCAGTAGGAAATACTTTCTGAATCGCATTCCACATTGCTTTGTCACCGTCTGTTACAATCGTACGAGGTTCCTTGTCTCCCATTGCTTTCTTCAACTTCCCCAGAACCCAATCATAACTCTTTTTGTCTCGTTAGCCAATAAAGCACATCCAAATATACAGCTCTTACGATGATGATTGATACCAAAAAAGTGATACAGAAGTTATGTATAGCTAAATAAAATATGGAGTGACGGATCGAGTTTGATAAGAGAAAAGTTGTGCACATGAGAAAACAACTAACGTCATGTTATAAATGTTTTTCTTGTATGTAGTATCAAAAGCTAACAAATCTCCAAAGCATGCCATATCTGCTATGCTTATGCTGTCTGCCCAGAACACGCTACAAAGTCTCTTATCTTCATCAAAAGTGGGTTCGAGGATGAAGTGGCTGTCTATACTGATTTTTTATTTTAGATACGCTAGTGCAGTAGCAGCATCTCCTTCATTGATCCTTTCTTTTCGATCGTTAGAGGAAAAATTATGCAAATCCTTTTTCGTATGTCCTACTTTATCATAGCCTCCAGCTTTTTGAACATGTTGATTCATGATATCAGCCATTCTCATACCTGCATCTCGTTGGTAACGTACTTCAGACTTTGTTGCTTCATCTAAGCGTCGATAGGATCTCATATGATGCACCAATTTTTGTCCAACCGGATCATGGGTATGATAGACATTGAAAGCATCGACAACAAACTTAGAATCTGACATGTCCAGATGAACATGCATCATAGCTGTACATTCAAACCTTGTAATGCATCTCGCAGATCTCTGTAATTCCTTTCCTCTTTTACGTTTTGTTCCTGCACTAGAGCAGCCAAATTTTTTAAGTGATTTGCCCTTCTTTGGTTTTATATTTCTTTTCTCGTCCCACCAAAAACCCCCAAGCTCTGGCATACTTGTTGTAGAAAGCATAAGCTTCCTCAATGTTGTTGAACTTCCTACCAATGACTTGATCGTCGGTAAGGCTTGCCAGATTTTCATTCTCCTCGTCATCTCCAGTCAGAGGGTTCTCTTCGTTGGAAACATTGTGGTCAGCATCATCATCATCACCATTCACATTGACTTCTTCGATGGGAATATCGGTATCATCCTGATCATCATATTCTTCTCTCTTGACAGTAAAATCATCCATGTCTTCACAGTGGCTATCCTGCCTGGCAGTAGCATGATTTTCCTCTCCTGCCATGTGTTAGACCTTAACTTATGACTTTCCTGCAAATCATAGACACAGATCAGCTGGAGATTTTTGCTCATAAATCTAACGTAACACTATCTACATTTGTGTTTGACAGTCAGCTGTTAGCTTTTCTTTTGAACTTCTTTTTGACCAAAATTATACAAGCAGGTTTCAAGCCCTTCGTACAGCTTTGGACGGCTTCTTTCCACGATTCTCTTTGAGTCCTATGCTTGTAATCCCAATATGTTTTTTTGGTCAGATTGCGTCAACGGGAGCAGTTCCAATTGTGCTGATATGAAAACGGTAAATAATTTCAAACATTTGTGGACTGTTTTGTGCCATTTATTTTTTGAACGAAGACTGTTTTGTTCCTTATTTCCAGCGTTAGGCTGTTTGACATTGTTAAACCTATTTCCACTTTTTTTTATTCTCGCATGAATTACGGATGGGGTCCCTTTTCAGTTCTCTTTTCCCATCCCCGCTCAATGGGTTCATAGAAGATGGAAACAACTCATTTCCTTCCATTGGTATCGGATCTGAAGAGATAACTTCAGTAGAGGACGCATACTTCGTTGTTGAAGCTGTAGGAATATCTGAACCAGAGATTTGAAAATCCGTGTTATGTGCTATGTTATTTGTGTTGTGCAGGCCTTCATGAGTCACAATAACCAGGACCTCAGAATCAAGGTGAATTAGCTAAAGCTATATGTTCTGTGGATCTTTAGTTCTATGGGTTGGTTTAATGACTACATTAACATTCAACTCGAGAAGCTATTCAACAGCGTAATCCCTTAAGAGTTTACGTATAGGTCAATGGAGGGGAGTGGGACACATGCCCGCAAGTGTCGGAAATGCAAAGTACTTCGAAGGTGGCCTGAAAATAACTCCAAACACCGATCCTTCAAATGGAGAGTTTGAGGTTTGATACGGTCTTCTAGGAACTTGTTTGTCTTACAAACTCAAATGTAGGAGTAGGCTACTCCTATTCAGAAAGGAAGAAAGGAACATGGAGACTTTAGTCTCTGCTCGGTGTAAATGTTTATGCAATGAGTACCATTTCCCTTTTGGTATTTGTCCCCTTCTGTAGGTTGTTATCCTCTAGGACTTCAAATGGTATGACTTCATTTTGAAGCTACATAAGCTTTACAACGGAACACATTTATCAGTGGCAAATGTAGTTTCAAGAAGGTTAGGCCACATATTTTATATGCGTACATGTTCCTAGCTTCTATTTTTGTATAGCTTGCTTTAGGTTAATCTCTTTGTGTCCAAATCCACTGAATGATGAGTCAAACTCAAATAATTAATGGGCTTAAGATCATGAACAAAACCAAAGCAGATGCTTAGAGTAAACTGATGGGGAGTACCTGGGATTCCTTCCGATGAAGTTTTCCATTCTACCATCTGCTATTCAGATGATACGGTGACATTCTATGCTACTTACAGGTTCCTTCTCTCATTCCTGTTGAGACTTTGACAGCCATTTGAAGGAAAGTTGCGCTCAACATCTGAATAACCACAGAACATACAAAAAGCAGCATGGCAATGTCAAAAGCTTGTGAAATAACTAAAACTAGGCTCATGATTTAAGAATTAGACACTTTGATCATCACATGTCGAACTATTAGCTAAGCTGCCAGCTGTTTATTAGGATTCCACTGCTGGTTGCAATTTCTAGTTATATAGGAATGTGATACAGCCCGGATTTACCTCCATTTCAAGCCATCATTCCTTGTTCAAGTTTCCAATCCAACTATGATGCATAAATTGGATTTTCGGCTAAGGCAAGAGACGTGTTCGGATAGCATACTTTGGAAGCTTTGAAGGGCCGAATGTGATGGTGGAAATGGAAGGTTGAGTCATGGTTTTGAAGCTAAGGTTCTTCTTTACAAGGTAGAGTGGCTGGCAGCTCGGATTGAATCCCGGAAGTACAGTTTCAAGGCTTGACAAGAGGCTAGCTCAATGCTGGGAAACTGACAGGAATTGTGTGTGTCAAACTGTGATAAGGATAGCTACTTTGAAGCCTCATTCCGGGAAGATGGTGATGATTCGAGGGGGGAGCTTCATACCCCATGAAAGTACGCATTTTAATATACAGAGGAGAGGCATTGGATGACCGTTGGCGTGTTTGGAAGTCACTAATCGAGGACCTCAAAGTTGGCATCGATGGTTGTTGGTGATGTGGAGCTGAAGGCAGGATTACTTTCCTTGTTTGATTCGGATTAGCATTCCTTGTTTGTTTAAGCTTAGGTTTTTGTGTTTAATTGTAATAAGGAAGTTTTAGACGTTTATGGCCCTAGCTAGCTATTTAACCTTTGACAATGGCATTGTAAGTTTTTCAGTTTTTGAAGTTTAATAAGAACCCTAGTTCATTGAGTTCTAGCTCTTTGATTTGTCCTTGTTGTGTAGAATTAAATCCATCAACGAGCGAGCTCAACATCGATAGATTTTCCCCATCAATCGTGGACGAGTTGCACTCAATTGGATCGAGCCTCTTCCCCTATTTCGTGTGTTGAAGTTGCTCTTCCCAACTCCGCCTTTACCCCCTGTTTCGTTCGTGTTCTTCCCAAAATCATCCGTCAAGTTCGATTTTGAGGAATTGAGGGATCAGTTTATCAAGCTTCCAAGTTTAGAACGTATCAGAATGCAATTTATTGAAGTTTGTTTGTTGTGTCGAATGAAGGTTATTTGTTGTTTGTTGCTTTTACTGAAGTTGAAATGGTCCCGGTCACACTAGTTGGAATTGATGAACTAACCGTCATCTCACTCTGCTGCCCTTCCTCTGTGATTATGATCAGGCAGCTTGTAGAAGCAGAACAGCAGCAACATGCCTCCCCAGTTGCTTGTGTCGAATGGATCTTATTTGAAGCATAACAGCAACAACCGACAACTTCCTTCTTATTTTTTATGGCTTATGGAATGCTTTATTTCTATGAGTTGTGATTGTTCATGAATGTGTAGTTTGCAAACCGAGTATTTGTGATTGGGATGGATTTTGTGATTGTTAAGCAAGTACAAGTTAAGTTTAAAAGTTTGTTAAAATTCTAGTGATTCAAACTTTGGGTATTTATGGGTAGTATGGGTACCTGTTATCCGTCCCGTACGGGTAATGAGTACCCGTTTACCCATACGAGTTTGGGATATGGGATGGAATTTGGTCTCCAAATGGGACGGGTAATCCGTCCCGTCCCGTTGCCCACCCCTACTCTTGGGTATTTTTGAAAAAGTGTTAACAAACACTAAGAACACTAGGAGGTCATAGTAGCAGATCTCATTTTGTAACATGAATGCTCAAGTCTACGAGTTAAGATCACTATATATAGCATAACCATGAAGATCTGTCGAAGAAATAACTTTGGTAGATTGATCTTTTCACCCTATAACCAACTTCAAACCCTGGAAAGTCCATCACAAAAGAAGTATCCTTCTGAGGTCTAAGAACTGCAGGCAGAAGTCGTCTGGTAAAACATCCCTCAAAATAGTTGGACTCCACATGTAATGATCTAAGTTTTGTCGAGCACAGTGGCGCCTCATTTACACTGGGGTATTGCAATGAATATAAAATATATCGTAAGGAAACCTGGTGCGACCCTAAACGCCCACCAACGAAAATAATATATACCGAAAGGAAATAAAATAGGATCAGTAACATAGAAGAACTTCGAAGGAAAGAAGCATTGTTTTGCTGCGGAAAATACAGAGGGGGCAAGGGAAAAAGAACGCATCCAACACAAAATTCAAAGACAAAAATATACCAAACTACCAAAATCACCAAACATATGAAATAAACCTGTGAGACCACTAAACACCATCCATGAGATCCAACATACTTTACTTCGATGAAATGCATCATGTTCCGTTCCATCACCTCAAAAGTACTGATAAGTTCCAAAAACCAATTACAAAAAAACTTATAAAATAATAAGCTAGCTACATTCCTCCGTTTAAAGAGGTATGTTTTATTGAAACTCCTAACACAGCCATTACAGTTGGACTATCGTGCCACACCTAATTGTCTGTGTCCCCCTCCATGCTCTCCACATGCCCACCTCTTCAACCACTTTGAATTTGCCCAACTAAATTTCGGTAAATTTCATCTCCAATCTCATTGTCTTTGTTATTCAGCATAAAAAGAGCTAGCTCAATCCTCTCCTCCTCATTGTCAAACTGAAAGTGAAAAAAACATTGCATTAGATTATTATTATGACACCGAAATACAACATGAGGACAAGAGCGTACCCTTTTTCTCATTCCCCGCGAACAATCATCTAAACTGCCACCGCTTCTCATCAATTTTAGCACAAACAGTCCACAATCAAACCTAGGCACAAAAAATTTGGAGTTAAAAATAGTACACAGCTTATTAGACAAAAAATAAGTCAAAGAGAGAACACTCATAAGGATACCCATACTGTTGCCTGTGAGCATTAACCACAATCTCAACAGTGAAAGAGACGAGCATGTCACAGGCATATCTTCTAATGATCTCCACATAAAACAGCAAGTCCAGTTCATTGGCCTAGATGGTGTGCACCAAACAAGTAATTCAGCATACATACAAATGAGAAAAAATTTAAGATAACATGCTATGGGTGATGCCACTTACGATTTGTTTCACTTTTTCTTCCATCATAATGGGATCCAAGTAGTTCGGAAATGAATCCCAGATTTGAATGACCTTTTGATTAAGGTCAAACACACTTAGGAAGAAGTGTTTGTCCACCAGCACAGGGGCAAAAATCTAAAAAAGGTACATATATTAGTTGAAAACTCCAAACACGAACACTATAATGAAGAAAAAACCTATCAACACCTACCTTCTCACAGTCACTGAATTCTTCTGCACCATACATTGTTTTCAGGGTCTCCTCATAGTAAGCAAACACACGACCTCCAGCCTTGCTTACCTAAAATATGCACCGTGCACAAAACATTATACATAAATGGTGAAATTTGTGAGAAATGGAAAGACAAAATCTCAATCCACTTACACCAAATGTTGGAGGTAAGAACCAATGCACACGTCTCTTCTCACAAAAGTCCTCTAAGGTTAACAAGTGTGTGCACATAGTCATAATCTATACAAATATACAACACAAAATCAATATACAGTAAACAACCTTTACCCTTTAAAACCCTTTTATGCTGATTTTAATCTTTAAAATAAATGTAACACTGACCTGGGTAGACAACCATGTTTCAGGTAATAGCACCTTAAACTCTGCACAGTTTAAATGAAACCATGGTGATTTGACCAACACCTCACTACAACGGTAAATAAGATATTCATTGAGGGATACCAATAATTTGTCAAAAATGTATTCTCAGTAATTTCATTTGATTTTTCATACGAGACAAACTTAACAAGGACAAAGTCTGAACAAAGATTAGAAGCATCAGTCAAGAGAAGATAACTATGACAAATCAGAAAGATATATTGCTCAATACTTTTGGAAAATACAAAAGATAATATAAATCAGTTTACACAACAGAAGACATGAAAACCCAACTAGAAACAAATTAATTTTACCTTGCGTCCTTTGACGGATCGAATGCATGCCTGATTAGAAGCTTATCCCTTTTTGATACATGTTGTGTACTGGTGAAGGGTCCGATCACCTGTTTAGCGGAACCTCTCCTCTCGGGATCTTGTCGGGTCAAAATAGGACCCTATATGCTAACAGGAGACTTCAAAACATCATTTCCCTAGCAAAAATCCAGTACATTCAGAAAGTCAGAACACAGTCAAAACATAAAGATAAAACTAAATAAAGGAAAACACAACACCTTTCTCTTGGTGGCAGTGCTTGTCATCTTTGGCTTACTCCTTGCTGTCAGCGAGAAGGAGTTGTCGCTGCTAATGTTGACTACTTCAACAACCTCATCTTTCCTCTCCTTCTTGCCATTCTCCATGAGATCACCCAATCTCGATAACAATAAGTCTCTCAACAAATTCATCCCTACCCTCAACGAATTCATACTCTCCTCGAACTCCCTTTTCATGGTAAGCTGAGTGTTTGCCAAGTCAGCCATGAGAGAATGTAGGCTCGCCAGCTGCATAGGAAATATGCAAAGTTTAGGTAGCAGGAAATACGAACGGAATTGTAGGAACAGTAAGACCTCACAAAATTTTTTACGAATGGGGGAACTTTATTGAAGTGTAAAAAAAGTCCAAGCAAGGGTCGTGGTTGCCAAGAGCTCAACCAAACAACCATAACAGAAAAGAAGCACATATAGGTAGAGCACCCCAGCACACCTGTTACAATCTAAAAAGATATACAAAAACAAGGGAACCCCAACACAACAATCACGAAGCCAAGAAAAACACAGCATAGCCAACCACAATGGCTTACAAAAGTAATATCTGCACATAGTTTACCTCATTTGATTTCAGGTTATCAGGTGCTCCCGTTTCCTTGTCTAAGCTGGAAAAAAAAACATAACCAACATAAACAAACGTAAGCAAGGGCCATGACAAAGCAATGAACAAAGCCAAGCAAAATAAAGCACACGCACCCTACCATGACACTAATGGATTTTTGGCTCTACAGTTGAAAATAATAAACACAGTAGTCACTAAGATGAGATGCTTAAATAGACAACCGTAAGTTTTGATGAAGAAGGGATCTGATTTTATATTTTCTGTTCTGATTTTATTAGTTTTTAGCAGTGTTATTAAAGCCGAGCTGAGCCGCTCGGCCCGACCGGTAAAACCGTCAGCCGGTCATAAAATCGGCTCGAAACAGTCTAAAAGTCTCTCCGGTTTTATGTAGCGGTTGAAGAGCGGCCGAGGTGGTTAACCGTTCGAGCCGCTCGTCCGGTTTTTGCCACTCAACCACTAAATTTAATTAAAAAAAATTGCAGAAAATTAAAAATTGAAATAAACCAAAAACGTCTGCCTCTTAAACTGAATCCTTATTTCCATTTCACAATTTCGAAGGAAAGAGATTAGCTCTGATTAAGAAATGTCCACTATTTATACTGATAACATTTATTAGGTACCGGTTCTTTAACGGTTTTTAAACGGTCTAATGCCGGTTGGACCACTAAAGTGCGAGCCGTTCGCATTACCGGGTCATGCTCCAGTTCGGTTCTGACAACATTGGTTTTTAGTGTTTCAAATGATTAAAATAACCCATCCCAACAACTGAATACAACAGATATAGACGGGGAATGGATGATATCATATCCCGTCTTATCGAATAAAAAATCTTAAGAAGTTCAAGATATCCTAAAAACTAAATTGTGAAATACAATATTTATCTCATTTTTGACAATTTTGTATAATAAAACTCAGCACACTTATTTGATAAAACAAACAATACAAAATCACACATATGATCACAATAGAGTTCCATTCGTAAAAGCGCACCTTTTGTTTTTCAGCTGCAAATATGATCAAATATGTGATCGTCAAGACACAACGGCTTCCCTGTAGCTGTTGACACAATAACCAAGCTGATAAATTACGGATCCCCTCTCGATGGACTCCTTGTACTGATGCTCTATTGGGTCAACTTGCTGCAAGAGTTTGATCCCACTTAGAACAACTGTGAAAGAAATCACCAGTTTCATCTTTCCTCTGGACGAGAACAAGCAATAAATTACCTTCCTCAAGCTTGGCAATATAAACACCCTTGGTCTCATCTTCTCGGTTTTCATACATGCAGTCCTCAACCTGGTGCAGCTTTGTCAAGAGTTCTTCCCTCTCCGGCTCAGTGAAAACTCTTGATACTTATCAAGGAGCTGGACCATGAAACATCAGTTAGCACATACATATCATGATGGAAACATTTAAAACAAATAACACATGCCCACGACCTGGCTTCCGCTCCTTTTGAAAATACCCAAGTGTTGCGTCTCCTCCCTTTCCAGTGACAATCATATCCCATGTTCCATTCATCTCAGCTTCACTGACGACCTGACTTTGGCTCCTTTGGACAATACCACCTAACTTTCGCTTCCCCTGTCCTTACAGCGCCAATCCCAGTCTCCCGATGCAGCCTCATCCTCTCTCGCTGCTCCGGTCAGATCCCGTCTCCCACCCTAACTCCGCCCGCTCCAGGCAACCAAGTTCTCTGACCTAATCCCCGACCTAATTTCCCGAATCGCTTCCCTCATCCTCCTTAAAAGCCCTTTCAATTACTTCTTCGGTCAAATACCCTATTGCTTGATTGGCGCCATCTCTTTTACAGGTACCTCTCCACGAAATCGCCATCGCTTGCCCAGTTGATTTAACTCGCTCATCTCTCAGAAACCTACCCGAGAAGATAGATTTGAGAACGCTTTTAGAATATAGTATCATGTCCGAAAGATCAGTCAATTCAAGTTCTGGATAGCGTTTCTTACTCAAGGTATGCGGTACCCCGAATTTCACCCTGGGTACCGTAGAACTCCCCATATATATATATATTAGAAAGCGTTCTCAAATCTATCTTCTTCCTCGCAACAAGCAAATAAAAAGTTTGATTGTGCAGTGTCATGCTTTACACATCAAGGATTAAAAAAATTAAATATAGTTCTGGAAACTAAATGTCAAGATGGTAAATATGAGTGATGGAAAGGCTTTTGTGTTAGGAAAAATACACTTGTATAGACAAAACTTTCGTGTTTGTGCCAATAATAGCCAAATTTGGCGAAATACCACTTATAGCCACCGTTTAAATTTGTTGTAGGAAAAATATAGCCAAGTCCGTTAGAAACTTTAACGATGTTAATAACACCGTCAACTTATCTGACGGTTCGCTGACTAGTCGTCCACTCAGCGGACACGTCAACGCCAAATAAGAAAATAGTGACACGTCATATATTTAAATTATTTATTACTTGCACATAAATAAATAAATAATATTTACCCTTATATTCCTTCACACGAGTCACAGTCCTTCTTCCCCAACTTTTGGCCGATTTCAAAATTAGTGTTCTTCCCCACAAATCTTCTTCCTCTTTCTGATCGATTCAGCAATTACTTAACAAATCTCCCTCCCCTGTAAATCACATCCAAACATTCCTTAACAGGTCACTGACTCGGTTTCGAACTCATCTACAACGACACCGTGGAAAGACCAGTTAACCTCTAGAGGGCGCACGATGAACTCTCTTTGTTCACCATTGATCGCCCGACACCCATGGAGCTCGACCTCCCGTCCGGCATCCCTAGCTCCTCCACCTTCCGGCGGCTCAACATTCTTCCACAAAGACACACCGCATCGTTCACACGAATTCAATACCCAGTCTTCCCTTCAACCCCGAGACCAGTGGATCGACAGTTATAGACGTCAAAATCCAACACCTCACGCGCCACGCGCTCCTATCGGTGACGACGGCTCCTCCTCAATCCCCGCTGCTTCACTGGTACAGGCAGGTAAAGTTTGGTTCTTGGTCTCTAATTCCCCTGTTTTTCCTCTTATGGATTCTGAGAATTGGGTTTCTGTTACAGATGGAGGCCGAGTTGGGCAAGTGAAGAGGGTCACCAAAGAGACCAATGTTTTGTGAAAATTAACTTGGATGGTACTGGGATTGCTAATTTGTCTACGTGAATCCCATTTCTCGATAATATGTTAGATGTTAGTGGATGTTTGTACATCATGACTTTACAGTTTGCAACTTCTCCCTTTTCATTTTTGGTCCATTGCTCGATTGCATTCTTTTGCATTTGTGGGGTATATCGATGGTGGAGGAAAAATAGCAGGGGGGTACGAGGGTCGCCGGTAGCAGATCTTCCACTTGGTCGTCTTGGTCGCCTTCGTCTCTCTCAGATGGGAAAATGGTGGGTGTTCAAAGAAGACGATAAGACAGACGAAAAGGTGGGTGGGTCAATGAGGAGTTTTGATTTTTTGCTCAGTTATTTTTTTAATTAATTATTATCCATGTGTACAGGTAGAGAGAAAAAGGGAAATAAGTGTTGGCCACGCAAGCCGCTCTGTTTGTCCAGTCATACTTAACGATAACAGTGTTAAAGAATTGGACGGAAGTGGCTATAAGTGATATTTCACCAAATTTGACTATTATTGGCACAAACGCGAAATTTTTGGCTATACAAGTGTATTTTGCCTTTGTGTTACTTTGAACACTTGTCAACACCACAACATCTTTGAGCTTCAACCCAGCTTTTATATATATTCTTCAATGGTCATATTGAGAGCTTCAGAAACTCAAAAGAATTCCATGGAAAATTTTGGGTATCACTAATCGTCACTGTAATTTTCTTTTAATTATATTAAATCAAAATTAAATATTTCTTTTATGTTTTTTGTTTTTTTCTAAATCCCTCCAATCTTAATTTTCACCACCAATATACCACAACGGTCTCTTCATCTAGCTACCTTGTGGTCACTGAGTTTACTAAAATGTTTCATGTTTAGTTACTGAAATAATTAATATAAATTTTGCTCACTCGAATTAGTAAAACAGTCCATATTTAGTTGCTCTTCGTTAACTTTATCTGATGTGTCAGTCAACCCTAACAGTTGACCGTAAAATGTCTGACGTGATAATTATAAAATTAAGAAAAAATTTATTTAATTCTTTTAATATTTTCACATAAAGAAAACAAATAAAACAAAATTAAGTCTCTTCTAATCCCGAGCTCCTCCACAGCTCTCCACAACCTAATTGGGTGAATTGCAAGGTTGGTCACTGAGATTACTAAAAACATTCATGTTTGGTCACTGGAAATATTTAATTCCATTGGTGGTCACTAACTTTACATTTTCGTTTCATCATTAGTCATTTTTCGTCCAATTTCGTTAACTCTGTCCTATGTGGTAGTCAACTACAATAGTTGACCGTTAAATGCGTGACCTGGCAATTAAAATATAATTAAGAAATTAAAATTATAATATTTTAAATATTCCAACTCATTATCACATTCATTAAAAAATAAAAAATAAAACCTAATCTCCTAATTCTACCGCCCCTTTCCCGTCCGGCGATAATGCTAGGGTTGCATTCACCACCGATTTCCAAAGTCAACCGGAAATGGCCAGGGATCGTGAAGGATCTGTTGCCCACTTGCTCCTAGCTCTAACTTT